ATTTATTTTTTTTAACTTTTAAATTTTTGAGACGGGATCTTGCTGTGTAGTTCAGGCTGGCCTTGAAGTCGCTATGTAGCCCAGGCTGGCCTTCAACTCTTGGCAATCATTCTGCCTCAGCCTCCCAAATGCTGGAATTACAGGAATGTGCCACAAAGCCTAGCTAGTAATCTCTTTCTTTCTTTCTTTCGATGGGTACTGGGAATTGAACTCAGGACCTCATACTTACCAGGCAGGTGCTGTGCTGCGAAGCTACATCCCCGGCCCCACTAATCAAATAGAACAAAAAAGAAATACTGAAAAGGAAATAGCCCTCTCATTCCTGATCATTAGTTTCCCTTTCTAGAGGAAAGATCTGCTACACTTTTTTTGTGAGCTCTTCCTTATTTTTTTTTGGACCAGGGATCGAACTCAGGATCTTGCACTTTCGAGGCAGGCAATGGTACCACTGAGCTAAACCCCCAGCACTCTTCTTTATTTTTATTTTATGTTTTCTGTTTGTTTGTTTTTGGTACCGGGGATTGAACTCCCGTCCTTGTGCTTGCAAGGCAGGCAACAGAACCACTGAGCTAAATTCCCGGCCCTCTTCTTTAATTTTTAATTCAAAATCTGTCTAAAATAAATTCAGATAAAAGGAACATTTCTGGGCTGGGGATTTAGCTCAGTGGTTCCACCACCTGCCTTGAAAGTGCAAGGTCCTGAGTTCCATCCCCTGTACCAAAAATAAAAGGAACATTTCCAAAAAGCTTCAAAATGTGAAATGAAACATAGTAGGAAAGATAGTGTAACTGGCTTCTCCTAGGTCTCTGGTTCTTGTTTTGGGACAAGGAAGATTGAAGCTGACAGAACAGCAAGCAGCAGGGAGTGGAGAATGGCCAAATGCATGTTTATTAGCAAGAATTAAAGAAAAGAGCTCCCTGCTTGTCAGGAAGGGGTTAAAAAAAACTGTAGATGTTTAAGTCCAGTGGCCTTTAATACAGTTTTTGGGACTGATATGTACGTCAGGCAGGGATGTTCCTCATGGCAGGTAGGCCTTTGATGTCCTGAAAGCAAGCTGCTGCTCGTGTGTGTTTTGTTTCCTCCAAGGTCTCTCCCATTTGGTTAAGGACCTGTTTTTTAATCCCTCTGTTCCATTAGGCCCTGATGGCCTGTTTGGGCCCTCTGGTATGGTAACTCACTTAGGCCCCCACTTTAATTTATTTTAAGTTAACTATTCAGGACCTGTGACCTATTTGCCTAGCTTCTCTATCTTCTGGCTTCAGTAGAGGCTAAAGTTTGGTTTTTGTCATGCAGGAGCATGCTTGTGTGTGCACACGTGTGTGTGTTTGTGTGTGTGTGTGTTGCTGTGGATTAAACCCAGGGCCTTCCAAATGCTAGGACAGTACTCTCTGGTACCCCTGAGCTACACCTCCAGCCTGAGGGGAATTTCTTTGAATGGAGACTGGACTAAGAGAAGCTTCTTGAAATGTGAGTCCAATAGCAATGGATTCATGAAGTTTTATTTCTCTGCTTGATTATTTTCCTGCTAAAAACATTGGCATTCAGCAGAGTGTGTTCTCACATGACTGTAATCCCAGCACTCTGAGAAGCTGAGGCAGGAGAATTGGAAATTTGAGCCCAGACTGGCAATTAATGACTTATTTAGACCCTGTCTAAAAATAAAATATAAAATAAAGGGTTCAGGGTGTAGTGGAGCGTGAAGGCCCTGGATTCAATCCCAGTACTGCAAAACAAAACAAAACAAATCTCAGAAGGCAAGCATTCTCACCTTGTAGTACTAGTTATTGAACTTGGGAGTGTTTCCCTACAGCCTCACCCCTTGTATTTTGTGTTTATTTGTTTTTTGAAATATTGGTAGTTGAATCCAGGGCCTTTGCCCTGAGCTTCATTCCCAGCTCTTTTTTATTTATTTTTTGTTTGTTGGTTGGTGCAGGGGATAGAACTTACAGCCTCACAGGTTAGGCAGGTGTTCTGCCTCTGGGTTAAACCCTCAGCCCTCCCAACTTTGGGGCAGGGTCTCACTATTATAGACAGCTAAGTTAGAGGGAAATAGTTAATAGTGATAAAGGAGAAATAAATGTATCTCCCAACCAGCGGGATGTCAAATACCTGGAGTTCATGTTCCCTAAAATTGAGAAAATGAGTTCCAAGGAAAAACAGAGGTTAAGAGTTGGAAATTTTTTTTTTTTTTTTGGTACCGGGGATTGAAATTGGGACCTTGTGCTTGCAAGGCAGGCGCCAGAACCACTGAGCTAAATCCCCAGCCCAAGAGTTGGAAAATTTTATTGACAGAGATAGCACCTGAGAGGACAGCAGGGACTCGAAAGTGAACCTATTCCCTATGGGAACTTTTGTAGAGCAAAAGCACAAGGTGGGTAGAACGTGGGTCAAAACTATTTTCAATCAATAAGATTACAAGTATAATCACTTAAGTAATATTGATCCAGTGAGGAAAATGTTCACGTAGCCTGTGTACATGGAAAAAACAAAACCTTTATAGGAAGAGATGAATCAGGAGGTCCTGGTCACCCACCTGGGTGACTGATGGCTATCGAGACTTTATTGGAGCAGGTGATACCACTTATCCTATATTGCTTATCCCTTGGGAAAGTATGCAGGCCTGGCTTTTTCATCTTTACCTTGAGGCCTGGCCTTCAACAGTTGAGCCTCCAGACACAGTTTTCATCCTCTTCACTGACTCCCTCAGGGGCCCGACACTGTCTGACCACCTGTAATATTTCTACCTAATTTAGTTATTTATAATAACAGGAGCCAAAGAGAGATCAAGCCCTTGAGGGAATCAGTATAGAAGATTGGACACAACCAAGACTGTGGCAGGAGGCAAATCTAAAGAGTGTGTGGCCTCAAGAAAGAGACCCAATAGGCAGGCCTGCAAGCCTCTCTGTGGAGAAAAAATTTGAGATTGTACTGTGATTAGCACCACTAATCACTGAACTGAACCCACATAGGAATCAGAGGCATAGGTGGGTGACCTAATAGTGGCGCTACTTCTGCCTGGCCCTCCCAGTGCTGGGATTACAGGCATGCGCCACCACGCCCAGCAGATTTTATTTTTAATAGAACATTTACTGCTCCCATAGAGAGAATGGAGTATAAAATTGGGGGTGGAGCCCGGCATGGTGATGCAAGCCTGTAATCCCAAGCGGGAGGAGGGCCATGAAAGCAAGTAAGGCTGAGAGTACACCAAGAGTGAGACAGGGAGACAAGTTTGAAGGTGGGAGAGAAAATAGTGACTTGGACCAGACAGAAAGACAAATTTTGGGAGAGTTGCAACAAGGGAATAAGAGTGAGGGAGGATTCTTAGGGCTGCTTGGATGTTGCCTGTGTCCCCACGTCCCAAGACAAGGCTTATACCAGGGCAGTGCAATAAATGTCAGAGGTATATGTTGGCCTCCCGGTCACCACCCTTGGCTGTTGCTGGAAGCGCCTGTACCTAGGGGAACTCTGGCCCTTCAGGATCCCTGGGGTCCGTGGAAGGCACTTGACAGCTGGGAAAGTTCCCCTCTGCTGCTGGGTGGGTGAGGCTGCATCGCCAGGGACAACTGTTGGGCTGAGCCTGTCCTCTCCCTGGAACGGTCCACAAGAGCTTTCTCTCCCTGGACTGGGTTTGGGCCACCTAGGCTGCTGGAAGGCACTGGTGGTGGGCACGGGGAGATGGTAGATGTCAGCTTAGTGAGGCAAGAATTCCCCGCCCCCGGGCCAGCTCCCACCAGAGGCAAGGACCCAGCACCCAAGCGCTGCCTTTAATCTTCCCCAGCCCACCTGGTGCCTGGCAGAAGGGGGTTGGGGGCTCGGAGGTGAGGGCGGGGCGTGCCCCGAGGGTGGGGCGTGCCTGGGGCGGGGCGTGTCTCCCGGAGGGCTGGGTGTGGCCAGTGGTCCAGATGGTCAGTATCTGATGGCCAAAGTGTCTTTGCGGGGAAGAGTTAAAGGCCCACTCTTCTCTGTGCCGGCCAGCCCAGAGGGCTGAGGGTGGAGAACGCCGGGAGACCACAACACAGTCGCCTGAGCTCTGAGCTGAGAGGGAAGGTTCCGGCTGTTCCTCCGCTGTCAGCGCCACCAAGCTCCCAGCTTCACTTCCTCCTGCAGCCCCCTCCGCCCAGAGTCTGGGGATCCCAGCAGCTGGCCTGCCACCGGCCGCCCCGCCTTGCCCTCTGCCTGCAGGGTAAGTCGATAGACGATTCGGAGGGACTCAGCCTCAGGCCTGACAGTGCACAACCCAGGCAGGGAGGCCTGAGTGGGCTTCTTACTTCTCCAGCTTGGAACTAGAGCCTGCGTGGGGCCCCTCTCCCTGGACCTCCAGACTTCTTCCTCCACTGCCAGGGCGGGTGGGTGTTCAGGAGGTGGGACAGGGGCTGGAGAGAAAGCTGTTGCTGCTGGGGCTTGGGAGTGGTGGGGCTTGGGAGTGGTGGGGTTTGGGCTGCCAGGGAGGCAGAATGGGCCAGGGTTTGTTTGGGGACAAAAGCTAGGCTAACAGGGTTCCTTGCAGGGGAAGGGTCTCCACACTCTGGTGTGGGCAGAAAGGTGGTAGGTTGCAACTGCAAATCAAGGCAGCCTGACAGGTGGTGTGGTCCCTCAGCTACTGTGGAGACAAGTTCTCTCCAGGTCCCCAAGACACTGGGAACCCAAAGCAGCTTGGGAGTGGGCCCAGACCCAGCAGACAGCCCGCTGCATCTCACTGCCCTGCTCTTCTTTTCTCCCTACCCTCTGTCCCCGCCATGGCTCCCTCACACGCTGCTGCTGTCTGTTAGCGCAGCTGTGGCTCTTTTGCCTTCTTTGTGCTCCTGCCCACTGGGGATACAAGGGTTCCCGGACCCTGACTAGCACTGAACCCCTCGCCATGTGATGGAGGCTGTGGTTTCAGTTTTCCTGTGAGGGTCAGGTGATGCCATCAGGTGACCTCCCTGAGCCCAGCCTGGGCCTTGAGGGGGCAGCAGAGGAAGCTTGTCAGCCTGCAAGGGCCCTCCCTCCCCACTCTGAAGGCCCCAGAGAGATGGTGTTTGATGCCCTCAGACATGAGTCAGATTGAAAATATACATGGGCCCTGGAAGAATCTGAGAATTGAAGAGAAATGTCATGGTATAGAGCCAGATGGTTTTAGCCCCGACTCTGCCAGCAACTAACGACCTTGAGAAAATCACTTCCCCTTTCTGAGCCTCAGTTGTCCTGGCAGCAGAAGGAAGGGTTGGATGGACCGGGGCTTTCCCAATAGTTTCCCCAGAGATGGCCCATTCCATGGTGAGGGCGTGAGCAGCCTGCCTGCCTGAGCCCAGCAACTGCACTTGGTTGTGAATACTGGCTACTGGGCAAGATGTGAAAGGGTTGCGCTATGAACATAAATGTTTACTGTCCTCGAGCAAGGGCTGTGGTCACTCAGATGTCAGGAAATTGGGGACAGCCATGGCTCTTTGTGTGGGAAAACATCAGAGGCAGCCCCAGTGAGTCCTGCCACTCTCCCTTCCAGCACGCAGGGCAGGGCTGTCCCCATACCACAGACCTCCTCCCTCCCTGCATTCCTCTTCCCTCTGCCCTTCTTCCCCATGGCTCGCTTCCCTTCCTGTGTGGCCCCAAGAGCTCCTGCATGGTGGTGGATGGGTGGATTTATTTGCTCTCCACTTCTAAACATGTCCTTCTGCAGGCCCTAATCAGAACTTTGTGGACGTGGGGCCCGGAGAAAGAGCAGACCCCTGACATCGCCATCTCCACAGAGGTCCCAGGTGGACCGGGCAGCCTCTCTCCTCCCCTTAGGATGACCTCGCCTTCCAGCCCCCCAGCTTTCAGGCTGGAGACATCAGATGGAGGCCAAGAAGGTGGCACTGAGGGGGTCAAAGGAAAGCATGGCCTGCCCCCCATGGAGTCACCATTCCAGGGTGAGGACCGGAACTCCTCCCCTCAGATCAGAGTGAACCTCAACTACTGGAAGAGAGCTGATGCCAGGTGAGGCAGGTGGGGAGAGGATCAAGGGAGCCACCCTACCAACCTCCCACCAAGCAGCAGTGTTCGTTTCCACAGCTTGGCTCCAGCGGCTCCTGCTGTGCTCTCTGGGGTTGCTCCTTCCAGAACCTTCTCCATTCTTGGTCTTCTCCCTTCTGAGGTTGTGTTCTGTATGGGGACACATTCTTCATGCTCCAAAGCACTCAATCTAGCCACAAAATCCCGCTTGCTTGGGCCCTAGCACCTACCCTGTCATTGTCCCTGTAGGGGATGGTAGTAAGATCTAAAATCCATCTGGGACAGAGGAAAGGACATCCCAAGGAGTCTTTGGTTCTGCTCCAAGGCTGACACAGTCACGCAGGGGTGTGGATCCTGGGGATTGAGGACAATGGGCCTCTGGTTGGAGTCATCTGTGCTTGATTTTCCTGTGGTCTCTACCAGTTCAGGCTGTGACTGGGGATCCTGCTTCCAGTGCTGCTGGGGGAAAAGAAGTTATACCTGACATCTCCCTTAGTGTGAGGCTTGCTCCACAAGACTAGAGATTCCTCGCCTGGGATTTAGCTCAGTGGTTCGCCACTGCCTTGAAAGTGCAAGGTCCTGAGTTCAATCCCCGGTACCAAAACGAAAAGATTAACCAGCCTACCCTATGTATGAAGATAAGGAGATAGCAATATCATGGTGTGACCTGTGTATAATGGGTTACATTTAATATGGTGTATTTATAATTTATACTACACACGATCTTAGCCAAAAGGCCAAGATATCATTCTACTTAGGGGCCGGGGATTTAGCTCAGTGATTCCGCTGCCTGCCCTGTAAGTGCAAGGACCCAAGTTCCATCCCCGGTACCAAAGAAAACAAAACAACAAAAACAGACCAGAGATTCCTCATGGGCCAGGATGGCTGTCTGGGCAGCCCCTTCCTCATTCCTCATGCTGAGATGTGGCCCCCACTCTTGGCCTCCCAGGCTAGAATCCCTTGTACTGTTTGTGCCTGAGGACCAAGATCAGCTCTGATGCAGAAGATGATGCATAGGAGCCCTCTGGGAGTAATGTAACTGGGCTGATGGAGCCAGAATGGGGCCTGGTGACAGGAAGTACTTTGTCTCAGTGGCCATGTTTCCCAGCCCAACTGCCTACGGGGCTCCCTAGTCAGCAGTGGAGCCCTCGTGGTCATGTTGTGGCCATGTGGTCTGCTGGGTGGGTGACAGTACCTGTGGCCTGAGAGGTAGACATGAAGCTTCCTGGTATTGAGAATGCAGAGACTGCCTGTAATCACATTATGGCTGTATGTCTTCACATGTGAGTGATTGCATGAGGTGGGTGTGGTGGTGCATGCCTGTAATCCCAGCATTGGGAGGCTGAGACAGGAGGAGTGCCATGAGTGCAAGGCCAACCTGGCCTCACAGTGAGTTCGAGGCCAGTCTGCACTGCAAAGGGAGATCCTGCCTCAAACCCCCACCTCCCAAAGTGACTAATTCCAACAGTCACCCATGCACCAGAGAGTCACAAACCTTACTGGGCCAGCTTATTTCACAGGAGATGTTAAGCTGTGACTTGAGAGTCCCCCAAACCTCAAGTCTCCCCCATCCCTCTTTGTTGCTGCATATCTCTTAGTCATAGTTCCAGGGGCTCCCGAGGGAGCTGGCCCTGTCTGTCAATAGTGGCACAGCCCAGTAGGGAATGGCCCACTCCCGCCCCCTTCCCCATCCCCAGACACTGCTAGACTCTGATAAGCCAAGAGCCCCCTTCTGGGGTCTGTAGGAGAGATTTCCCAGAAGGATGGTTTCTCAGTAAAATTCTGGTCAGCGTCTTATACTTTCTCAGCACTAGGCCCACTTGATACTGTGTCTCTGGGAAACCTTTTCTGCCCAGCCTCAAAGCTCCCTGGGGGTTGAGAGTCAGGGCCTAGCATTAGACAACCCCAGTTCTGCACTGTATGACATGGGCAAGTTACTGTACCTCCTTGTTTGTCTAAAGGAGAAAAGAGTGATTCCTGACCATAGGCCTAGAGTGAGGATTAAAGGTTCAGAATACTCTGTAGTTAGTGAGTAGGTGTTTCTGAGAGAAGGGAGTTTTCTCTATTGTTTCTTCTCCTCCTTCTCCTGTTCCTCTTTCTCCTACTGTGTGTGTGTGTGTGTGTGTGTGTGAGTGTGTGGGTATGTGTTGGGGATTGAACCAGGGCCTTTCACATTTAGGCAAGGTCTACACACTGAGTTACATCCCAACCCCTTCCTGTTTTTTTCTGTGAGCTCAGTGGTACCTGGAGCCTCCTTTAGTTTGCAGCCCCCTCCCACAACCTCATCCAGAGCCATACAAACGTTCAAGGGCATCCAAGTGTAGTGGCATGTGTAATTTTAGCTATCTGGGAGGCTGGGCAGAAGGATTGAAAGTCTGAGGCCAGTCTGGTTAACTTAGCAAGACCCTGTCTCAGAAAATAAAAAGCCCTTTAGGTTTAGCTGAGTGGAAGAACACCTCTGGGTTCAAGCTCCACAAAACCAAAACCAAAACAAAATTCAAGGTCCACCATAGCACATGTGTGTGACATAGACCCTGTGGGGTAAAGAAGCTGAAGGATCAGGGCACCTGGTGAATGAAAAGCCCTGGATGTTGAAAATCACCTGGGATGACTGAAGTTGTGAGGCACACAGCAGATTGAATGTCCTGACAAGACCCTCTTCCTCCTCCTGGGGCTCAGAGCACTTGGGGTTTCTTTGATGTGCCTTGGGGGGCAGAAGCCTCAGCTCCTCTGTCATGGGCAGTGTTTACTGGGCTCCCTGGAAGGACTCCTGGGATGGGAGGCTTCTTGGTGAGGGTGGCTGTGGTCCTTGTCCAACGTGAGTCACACACCATATCCCCTACAGCCAGCCGGACCCAGACCGCTTTGACCGTGACCGCCTCTTCAGTGCAGTCTCCCGGGGAGTTCCTGAGGATCTGGCTGGGCTGCCAGAGTATCTGCGCCGGACCAGCAAGTACCTCACCGACTCAGAGTACACAGGTAGCCCCTGCCCTGTGGCATCCTTTGTGCTCTGGCATCCTGCAGTATGAGACCTGGCTGACTGGGTTGGCCAGACCTATGGACAGAACACAGGGTCCAGTGTTCTTGGCAGCCCTCCTGCTGGAATGGCTGCAGGGGCCGGGTGGGGTAGGGTGGTGCCAATGGAATTGATCCAGGATAGCCCCCTGACATTTTGGCTGTGCCTCCTGCTTCCACGTACCCTACGTCTGCCACCCCAGCCCATTTCCTTTGCTACATTGGTACTGAAAGCGCTCTCTCTCTCTCTCTCTTTCTCTCTACGAGTAGCATTATTGAGATATTTAATAGACATGTAGTACACTTCACTGATCTCAGAGTATCTTTGCCCAAAATCTCATTCAGGATTGTTTGTACTAATGAGAAAAATAACATATGCAGACCCTAGCAGATTTGAATAGCAAGGAAATGGATAAAACTGAGGGTGAAACCTGCCCCTGTCTGCTGTTAATGTTTGGGGATACAACTTTTCAGAATTTCTTAGTACATTAGATATATGTTTATACAAATGGTATGTGGTTGACATAAATGAATGTGACATGATGGTTACACAAATTAGTATATTACATAAATTAGTAATGTACTTCCCTTTAGCATCTTATTTTTTTTGTTTGTTTATTTTTGAGACAGGTCTTCCTATGTAGTTCACAGTGGCCTTTGACTCACTGTGGAGCCCAGGCTGGCCTCGAATTTGAGGCAATCCTCCTGCCTCAGCCTTCAGAGTGCAGGAATCGCAGGCATGTGCCACCTTGTCCGGCAACATCTCATACATCTTGTAGCACTTCTCATTTCAGTACAGTACAATTCTCTGACTTCAGAGTGAATTTTCCGTTGTGTGGATTTACCGTAAGAGTTAATCAATTCTTTCTCAATAGCCCTATACATTGTTTGTAGTCTTTGACCTCCACTTGCTGTGCCACACCTTCTGTGTGCTAAGCACTTTGTTTCCATTGTTCCCTTGGATCCTTCCAATAAACTTGGAATATTCCCAGTTTTTTTTTTTTGTTTGTTTTTGGTACCAGGGATTGAACTTGGAACCTTCCACTTGCAAGGCAGGCAGCAGCACCACTGAGCTAAATCCCTGGCCCTCCCTTTTTTTTGTAGACAGTCTCACTGTGTAGTCTAGGCTGGCCTTGAACTCACTAAGTCACTATGTAGCCCAGATACATAGACCAGGTTGGGCTGGAACTCATGATGATACTCTTGCCTCAGCCTCCTGAGTGCTGGGATTACAGGCACCACCACACCTGACTAATCTCACTTTTCAAAGAAGAAGATTGAGGTTAAGAGAGGCAAAGTGATACAAATTATATGAATGGTAGATTTCCTGAATTTTGTAATTATATTGTAGAAATATGTAAGAGGATATTCTTGTTCACAGTAATTCCACTCTGAACTAGTAAGAGGTAAAACAGACACGTATACAAAAATGCACGTGAGAGAAAATTAGAGTAAATGGTAAAAATTGGATATTTAGGTAAATGATATACAAGAGTCTTTGTATTATTATTTACTGGAGACCTCTGCAGTGGATTCCAGTTTCCTGCCCAGTGTATGACACAGGGTTGAAGAAAGACTCAAAGACTGAATTAAAGAAAAAAGTGGGAAGCCAGGATGCCAAGTGCTGAGCAACCAGCAAAGGCTCTGGCCAGTCCAAGCCACTGCTATTTATTGATGACATCATGGTCAGATGGTGGTAAAGGGGCTACATGTGAGACATGCAGTTGCTATGGATACGTTACTGATGCAGGTAAGGCTTGTAAAGGAAAAGACAAAGCATTCTTGAGTTAGGAACAGAAAAAATACAGGGCTATAGTTAGCTAATAATCTTGTCATTCTAGTTAAGAATGGTTTTAGGGCAGAATATTTACTTCAGTGGTTGTGCTGTCTGCCTCGAAAGTGCAAGGTCCCAAGTTTGATCCCCGATACCAAAAAAAAAAAAAATGAATGGTTTTAATCGCGGGAATGGAATTTGGGTAAGAGTTACTCTGACTTCGGCATGTAGGCTTTGGCCAGACTCCCTTCTCAAAACAAGCCAATTGAGGGGTTAAGTCCTTAGAGCCTGCACTGCTTACAGCCTGCTTTGGGCATAATCAATAAGGCGGTCCCCCATAAGTATTGTTATTAGTCTTTGTATATGTTTGAAATTATCTACCTCATTTTTTGTTTTTGGGGGTCGGTTTTGAGACAGGAACTCACTATGTAGTTCAGATCAGACTTAAACTCATTATCCCCCCCCCCCGTTGGCCTTGAATTTGCAGTGATCTTCCTGCCTCAGCCTCCTGAGTGAGCCACCACACCCACCCCAATCTCCCCAATTTCTTTCCCCAATTTATAAAATGTTTTGTCAACTGTGTATACAGTATGGTATGAATCTCTGTTTTGATGTGAACTCTATCTACGTTTAGATTATTCTCCAGTGAGACAGAGATAGAGATAGAGACAGAAAGAGACAGAGATGGTAGCGATAGAGAGAGAATGAGAGAAAGAGAGAGAAACCAAGGGACTTACTGAAAGAGACAGAGGTAGTGACTGGATAAGTCCCTTATACATTTTTTCTCAAATGGTCTTTTTTGGAACCGGGGATCGAACTCTGGACCTTGCCCTTTCAAGGCAGATGGCAGAACCACTGAGCTAAATCCCTGGCCCTCAAATGCTCAAGTATAATGAAGTTGCATGTGTGATGATTTATGTCTCAGAAAGTTGGTTTTTAGGAACTGTAGTTGTACCCGTTGGTATTTGAATAGTGTTGCCTAGAGCTTTCATACCTGGATGGTGGCTGTGGTCCCACCAGTTGCATGAAGCAGAAATCTTTTTTTGTACTCCCAAGGGGTACTGGGGCCTGGGCTTGCTGTACAAGCTGACGGGTAGCCCAGCTGCTCCAGGTCTGAGCACTGCAGTGTCCCTTCCCCTCCCTCTTCCCACAGAGGGCTCCACGGGCAAAACGTGCCTGATGAAGGCTGTGCTGAACCTTCAGAACGGGGTCAACACCTGCATCCTGCCACTGCTGCAGATCGACCGAGACTCTGGCAATCCCCAGCCACTGGTCAACGCCCAGTGTACAGATGAGTACTACCGAGGTCACAGCGCCCTGCACATTGCCATTGAGAAGAGGAGCCTGCAATGTGTGAAGCTTCTGGTGGAGAATGGGGCCAACGTGCATGCCCGGGCTTGTGGCCACTTCTTCCAGAAGAGGCAAGGAACTTGCTTCTATTTTGGTGAGTGAGTTCTTCTTGGACACACAGAGGTACAGGTAGGTAAGACTGTCTCAGTTACTTTCTCCTTGCTGAGACACAATACCTGACGCCCACAATTTAAAGGAGGAAAAGTTAATTTTGGCTCAGTCTGTAGAGGTTTCAGTCCATAGTTGGCATGGCAGAGGAGAAACAGCTCATGACATGGCAGTGGGAGCAGAGAGAGAGTGACGTGAAGGGAGGATGGAGAAGGGACAAAGCCAGGCCACACCCCCAGGGACCTGGCTCTTTCGACCAGATCCCACCTGCCAACAGCAAGTCAGCTATAAAAACCCCCTCAATCCAGTCACATTCCAAAAGCCCCACCTCTGAGCCCATGAGGCTTTTTGAGGAGATCTAGGTATAAACCATAATAAAAACCTTGTCCAAAGTCACATGGTTAATGTGTGGCAGGGTTGGCACTTAAAGCCAGGTTAGCTTGACCCTGCCACCCATCTTCTAACTACTAGGCTACCTAAAAAATCAATTTGTTTGACTGTGATTTTTTTTTTTTTGGTTGGCGGGGTTTGACTTGGGTTCTTTTTGTTTGGGGGGCGGGGGGGGGACCCCTTGGGTTAATTCCCGGGCGGAAAAAAATCAATTTGTCTTAACAGATGTTTCTGCCCTCCTTTGATCAAGAAGGCTTAGCATGACTGGGGGTTGGTGGAACTGACCTATGTGAATAGGGGGGCTGGGGTGCAGCTCAGTGGTAGAGCAGGTGCTTAGTGTAACGAACTGAAGGCCCTGGGTTGCATCGTTGGCAGTGGATAAAGAAAGGTATTCAGTCAGGTAGAGCTTGACTTCAGGGGCAATGTGGCTGAGTTCTGGCAAAGAACAAGAGGCAGGGACTGGTTTTGTACTCCCAGATGGTAAAGAGGCCTGAGTCCTTCACGGAGGCCTGGCTGTCAGGGAAGCAGGCAGAGTAGGCAGATGGAAGCTGGGAAGCCCAAGGCCCAAGCTGCCCCCTTGGCCCATAGGCGAGCTGCCCCTCTCTCTGGCTGCATGCACCAAGCAGTGGGATGTGGTGAGCTACCTCCTGGAGAACCCGTACCAGCCCGCCAGCCTGCAGGCTGCTGACTCCTTGGGCAACACTGTTCTGCATGCCCTGGTGATGATCGCAGACAACTCTGAAGAGAACAGCAAACTGGTGATCCGCATGTACGATGCGGTCCTCAAGGCAGGAGCCCGCCTCTGCCCCACTGTGCAGCTTGAGAACATTCAAAACCTGCAGGGTCTCACGCCCTTGAAGCTGGCTGCCAAGGAGGGCAAAATTGAGGTGAGCCACCGTTCCCCTTCCCTTCCTCACCTCTCCAGACAGCAGTAAGCCTCAGCTCAAAACTTCCACAGACTCTGGGAGGAGGGCAGGTGGCTGGTCCCTCCATTTTTTGAGGTAACACTCGTACTAGCAAGAAAATTTTCAATTTGCGTCTCTGTGTCAGCTTTCTGTTGATGTGACATCATACTCCTGCATACTCTTTTTTTGGTATAAATTTTATTTTGTTCTATCTTTTCTTTGAGGGATTTGCTTTTATTTTGTTTTGTTTTTTGTGGTACCAGGGATCGAACTCAGGACCTTGTGGTTGAGAGGCAGGCACCGGCACCACTGGGCTAAATCATCTGTCCCTGCATACTCTTGCATATTCCTGTAATCCTAGCCATTGGGCCCAAAAATCAACTTAAAAAGAGAGGAGGAAAGATTTATTTTGGCTCTTGGTTTCAGGGGTTTCAGGCCATGGTCACTGCACACTGTGGCTTTGGGCTTGTGGTGAGTCAGAATATCATGGCAGAAAGTTCATGGTGGAGTGGCGCGTGCCTGAAATCTCAGCACTGTAATGTCGGGTTGAAGCAGGAGGACCATTGCAAGTTGGAGGCCAGCCTGGGCTACATAGTGAGTTCAAGGCCACCCTGAATGACATAGTGAGACCCTTTCTCCAAAAAATGAAAAAAAGAGAAAAGAAATAAGAAAAAGGAAGAAAGTTCATGGTGGAGTAAAGGGCTTATTTCATGGTTACTGGGAATTACAGAGGGAGAGACAGGCAGAGTTAAGAGTCCCAGTATCTTCTCAAGGGCATGTCCTAGTTACCAAAGTGTTTGTACTACATCCCAGTAGCATGATATTGGTGACTAACCCTTTAACAGTGAGATGTTATGGAACATTTAAGATCTAACATCATAACAACTCTAACAAACATGTGCTTATTTATAAGGTATATATATTGTATTATTAAACACAAGGACTATTTTTAAAGTCATTTGGGTTTCTTCATTAGGAGACACTTTTTGTGTGTGTGTGTGTTTGTTTTTCCAGACAGGAACTTGCTATGTAGTTTAAACTGGCTTGAACTCACTATGTAGCCCAGGCTGGCCTCAAACTTGTGGTTATCATCCTACTTCATCCTCCCAAGTGCTGGAATTACAGGCATCCACCGCCCAGCCCAGCAAGGCAGTATTTTTCATATCCATAAAAAGGCATACTTGGTTATGAGATTTGCTATTAGTTTTTGTTCATATTGATTGGTAACTGTTCTTCATAATGGACTTAATGTTTTGCCTGTTTTGCAAATTTTTCTCCAAGTTCGGTGGTTGTTTGGTTTTGAATCTTGTTATTTTTTTGTCATAAAAAATTAAAATTTTTACGTATGCAGCTGCGCATGTGCCTGTAGTCCCACCTGCCAGGCAACTTGGGGTGGAATGGTCATTGGAGCCCATGAGTTTGAGACCAACCTGAATAACATAGCAAGATCTTCTCAAAAAACAAACAAAACACAACAAATTTATGTGTCCAAGTACAATTATCTTTTTTTTAAAGGTCCCTTGGTTTTGCTCTGTTTTAATTCCTTGTATAAGATTTTTAAAAAGTAAAGCAGGAGTAGGGGCCGGGGATTTAGCTCAGTGGTTTCGCCACCTGCTGCACAAGTGCAAGGACCTGAGTTTGATCCCCAGTACCAAAAAAACAAAACAAAACAAAAAACCCAAAAGTAAAGCAGGAGGAGAAATGTGTGTTCAAATATGTGTTCAAATATGTGTTCAAATATGTGTTCATAGCAAGAGTCTCTCAAAAAAAAAAAAAGATGTAAAAAAAAGAGATTTTACACAGGCTATAGGTGTAGCTCAGTGGTTGAGCACTTGCTTAGCATGTGAGAGATCCTTGGTTTGATCTTGCCATATATACATTATATATTATGTATGGAACTGTATTATATATTATTTACAT